GAGTGAAACAATATCAACATCAGTATGGACGTAGCCCAAACATTGGGGTGAACCACGATACATCTTGTGTTCTTTACTTTCTTGCAGATTCATTGTCGGATTTACGTTGTTCCAAGACCCCTCCGGTTTTGTGCATCAACATTTGGCGCCGTCTGTGGGAATCGACACAAAAAGCTATGTCGGTTCTCTTTCATTTTTTTATCTCACCACCGTGAGACCTCATCAATGTCCACCGTGAATTTGCAAAAACCCAAGAACCCAAAGCTTTCCCAAAAAACCCACGGAGCCATTTTCCCTCTCAGTCAGTCGCACACGAAAACCAAAACAAAAAAAGAAAAAGAAAAAAAAGAAGGCTCTTCCATAAGGCTCTTCCATTTTCTTCTATCGTTGTTCCCTCTTTTCCTCTCTATTTCTGTTTTTTTCTCCCTGCGTCAATCCTTCGTGTTTCCCTACTTCTCTTCGTCTCCTCATCCGCCCAAGAGCCACTGGTCAATCTAGTTTCTCTGGCTTCTTTCGATGGCGGCCAAGATTTCGTCATGGAGGAGATGAATGATGGAGGTCAATTGGATCTTGAATACGATTTCTACAGCGAGACTTGCCCAGAAACTGAGACCATTGTGAGGTCGACGATGATGCAGATTACTCTTACCAGAAGAATGTCTCTGCTCAGGTGCTGCGCCTCTTCTTCCATGACTGCTTCATTCAGGTCCCATTCTTGGATATCCGAGGCCGCTGATTTTGGATTCGCCACTACTATATTTCCTTACCTCGGATTCATTTCCGACGTTCTAATTCTACGGAATCAGCAGAATGTTGCTGATCGATAAAAGAATCATCTTTCATCATATTCTCTCAGTAAAATATTAAAGCAACGTTGCTAATGGTGTACTTGTGACGATGCAACGTTGATATGCTTCTATGTCAATTTGGCTTCAGTTATTTGGAAGAGAGAACCGACATAGTGATGAGGTCTCACAAGTTCGACGTGTTCAAGGCTAACCCCCACCGTGTCGCGCGCCACCAGCGACTCGTCCCATTGGCTCAGCACGGCGTGACTCGGTTCTCCTATATGACATCCGTCGAGATTCCAGAAAAGTCAACTCGGTCTTAGAGGGTTGAAGCTGCCCGTCGACGCAACCGAGGCTCTGATTCTCCCGACAAAGAATTTGCCTGAGGATTTTGATTGGAGAGAGTATGAAGCTGTCACCGCCGTTAAAAATAAGGGTTTGTACAGATCTTGTTGGAGTTTCAGTACTACAGGAGCGTTGGAAGGTGCACACTATCTCGCAACTGAAGAGCTTGTGAGCCTCAGCGAGCAACAGCTTGTCGATTGCAATCATGAGAAAGATTTGGAATAGAATTTGTTGAAGTTTTGAACCCTTAGCAAGATTTGGCATGACCATTGATAAGGTCTCGGTGAGTGCTGATGGACTTGCTAAGATCTGAATCGCCGATTATTCCTGGGCCTAAAGTCGCAGGTCCAAATGTGAAGACCATGATCCTGGAACACGTGCTCCCTGAACATCTTTCCAAAAGTCCAAGTGCAATATCTCTGGCCATGCGCAATATACAGAAAAACATTGAAGGAGATAAGATTCTTTTTTCTTTATATTTTACTTTATCATTATTACTTCCCTAGCTACCGGAAAATGATGAAACTTTCATGATACAACCTACTACTCGATCAGTCTCGGAGATCAATGCAAGCATCCAATGTAGTCTCCTCAGATTCCATGGGCATCGACCACCAGAAGAAGCAAAAGTAGAAAAAAAGGAGGAAAATAATGAAAAAGGAAAAGATGTCTAGAGATGGAGAAAAGCCGAGGAGGAAGTGGAAAGCATGGCACACCTATACCCACTGTCATTGATAAATATTTTATTAAGTTGTCTTCTGCAAATTGGAGTAATTATCAACATAGTTATATTGATATATAAAGAAAGTAGCATGCCAAAAAAACAAAAAAACAAAAAAAAAATGGCGAAATGTCAGCAAGCCCAAAATAGTGGGCTAGAATGTTATGTGTAGGGCGAAGGCCCATATGCCCAAAAAAGTTAGGCCCTATGGCTTCAAATTCCAACCTCCACCCCTCCACTTAAGGTTTACCCTCTATTATCACCAACCAGGTGATCAAAAGTACGTTCAGTACTCCAAAATTATTCGGCAGCCTACCGCTATTATCACCCACTAGGTGATCAAAAGTACGTCCAGTACTCCAAAATTATACATGAGCATCACTCATGTCAATCATACATAAACATTCATGAGCATCACTCATGTCAACATTCATAAGCATTACTTATGTCAACATCCATGAGCATCACTCATGTCAATCAACATAAACATTCATGAGCATCATTCATGTCAATCAGCTTCGAAAACTTCATTTACGGAGCTCCAACTTCAAAAGCTTCATTTACTAAAGCTTCAGCTTCAAAGCTTCACTTGCAAAGTTTCACCTACAAAGCTTCAGTGCAGGGTATACAAAGACCGCATTCGAATAATCGTCACTTCGGTCGATACATGGATTCAATCTGAAGTCTCCAGCCAACAGCCTCTATTGACTGAAAACTTAGGGGACTACACTATGTACCATATATTGGGCTTCCACAACTGGGCTTCATGAAAAATACTTTGGGGACTTAGCCCATTATTTATGTACTGAGAAGCGAACCTTTATTCTATAAAAGGGACTCCTTCACTTTCATTAGAGAGCACTCATCACTTATGTATTGAGGAGCCAACCCTTATTTTATAAAAGGGACTTACTCACCTTCATTAAAGAGAGACTCTTAGCCCATCACTTATGTATTGAGGAGCCAACCTTTATTCTATAAAAGGGACTCCCTCACCATTATTAGAGAGTATCGCCGCATGCTGAGCAACCGCCTCACTGCGAGCATCACTCCTAACCTATCACTTATGTATTGAGGAGCGAGCCCTTATTCTATAAAAGGGACTCTCTCACCATCATTACAGAGCATCGCTGCCTGCTGAGCAACCGCCTCGCCACGAGCATCAACTATAGCCCATCATTCATTTATTGAGGAGCGATCCCTTATTTTATAAAAGGGACTCCCTCACCTTCAACGCCACAAGCCGAGCCAACCAAGGCAACATAAGCCACAAACCTCGCAACCTCGCAACATGTGCTACTTCAGTTGAGCATCATTTCAGATTAAGCATTGCCTCATATTGAGTATCAGTTCTAGACGACATCTAGTTACTTCGGTCCACACATGGACTGAATTTCAAGTCTCCAGCCAAAAGACTCTTTTGATTGAAGACTTGAGGGACTACTGTTTGTACCATACTTAGGGCCTCCGTATTTAGACCTCGTACAAATACTCGAGGGACTCAAGTGTAATTATGTAATAAATGAAGTGGCAAATATGTAATAAGTGAGGAGACCTTATTCTATAAAAGGACTCCTCACTTTCCTCATTAGGGGAAGCCAAGTTTTAGGCCAAGGCTAGAGAGAGCACACAGAAAATAGGCTAGAGAGCACACTGTCTCTAGCCTTCTTGTATATTCACCATTCAGAGTGAAACAATATCAACATCAGTGTGGACGTAGCCCAAACATTGGGTGAACCACGATACATCTTGTGTTCTTTACTTTCTTGCAGATTCACGGTCGGATTTACGTTGTACCAAGACCCCTCCGGTTTTGTGCATCAACAGAGCCTAAAACATAAACTTCTATAATCGTGGTTGGACTTTTCCAACACCAAGGAAGAGGTAGAAGTTTCGATAGAAGATTTGTAGAGGATGGTTTTGTCGCATTCTACCTGAGCCATCAATAAGCATCATCCTCAAGCGAATAAAGAAAGGGACAACACATGACCCACAAACTTACGAACTCATCACCGAAGACGTGAGATCGAAGAAGGGCACTAGCAGTAACAAAGAGAAGAAAACAGCAAAACCATTAGAGTCAAATATTGAAGAAATTGAAAAGATCCTATTCTCCATCAAATAAAAGCATCCCACCGGTTGTGTCTCGCCAGCCATCTCCGAAGTAGCCTCCGAGCCAAGGTGGATTCGAAAAAAGCACTGAATGTCCAAAACAACCCAAAAATAACAAACTTTCCCTAAGCAAAAATCAAATTTTAGATTATCACGACCAACCGAGACCTTAAAATTAAAATCCCCAATTGGATCCAGAACTGCAAGATCTAATATTTGCTCAAGGGAAAAGAGGGTGGTGGGGAAGTAAATGAGAGAAAAGGAAGTAGAAGTAGAAAATTGATGGGAATATGGAAATGTTGGGTTGAAAGATAGGAGCTTCAAAGTGAAGTTCGAAAAGAAAGCCTATAATAAAACATAGTTTAGAAATTAGAGTAAATTGTAGCAATGGTCCATTAACTTTAATTAAATTGGAACAATGATCCCTCAACTAAAAATCCATTACCATTGGTCCCTCAACTTATCAAAATGTGTAGCTATAGTCACTTTCATCAATTTCGTCAAAATTTTGTCAAAATAAGTTATGTTGGAATAACCATTTATATTATTAGAATCCCTCAATTCATCAAAGTGTGTAATTATGGTCCTTTTTGTCAACTACGTCAAAAATTTTGTCAAAACGAGTTATGTTGGAAGGACCATTGCTACAATTGAGTTAAAGTTAAGGGATCATTTCTCCAATTGAATTAAAGTTTATGAACCAATGGTAATGAATTTTTAGTTGAGGGACCATAGCTGCACGTTTTGATAGTTGAGAGACCAATGATAATTAATTTTTAGTAGAAATACTATTGCTTTAATTAAGTTAAAGTTAAAGAATCACGACTACAATTTACTCTAGAAATTAAGCGAACTCTTCTGAGTTACAAAGGTCAATGTTCAAATTGAGACCGGCATTGAGTTTCAAGCTCAATAGATGTAAATAAGCCTATAATAAACTTAGTCCGTTTCCAAAAAAAAAAACTTAGTCCATAATCTGCGTGTCGAGAGTGGAATACCCAGAATGCCCTCTATCCCAAAACCATAACCGTCCTCTTTCTTTTTCCCTCCGAGACACACACGGTACCAACAGCAAGACTATCTCCAGCAAAAATGGCGAACGTGCCGAGCCACGGACTGAGGCACGTGACTGCCATTCGCCCGTGGCTCCCGACCTTCCGTCGCTCCACCTCCCTGACCATCATGCGCCCGTGGCTCCCCACCTTCCGTCGCTCCACCTCCCTGGCTTCTCTCTCCTCCTCTTACACCGAAGACTCGGAGCACGCCCAGCCCAAAAGCGGCGACAAGCCCAACTCGTACTTCCCGAAGCGAGGGCAGACTTTCGAGCTGGTGTGCGAGTCTCTGGCTTTCAAAGGGAAAGGTCTATGCAAGGTGGCAGAGACTGGGTTCGTCGTCATGTGCGACCGCGCGCTGCCCGGCGAGCGGTTCGTAGGGAGGGTTACTCGCCGGAAAGGGACCTATGCTGAGGTACGGGGTCTGGGTTCTGTTTGGTTACCGAGAAAATGTTGGGATGGAGTGGGAAAATTGAATCTTTGGGTTTTGCTTGTGATGATTTTGCTGGTATCATTTGGTTCTGAAAATTGATAACGTGAAGTGGTCTTTATCTGTTTGCTGATTTTTGTGGACAAATTGGGGTGAATTCTAGCTTTTAAATCAATTTTTTTTTCCCGAAATTGTTGGGTTAACTTTTGAGACAAATGTGAGAGGAGGAGGCATGGAGATGGAGTAGTGAATTAGTTCAGCTTAATGATCTGTTTAAGTAAGTCCTTGTACAAATTGCTAAACCGAATGAAGAAGTAGATCACATGAGACTGCGGAAAGGAATAAAACAAGGGTAAAAGAGATGAGTTGAGGCATTGCTAAGTTTGGTCTGCTGGAGGTTGTTGTGACCGATGTTGAGGCTTGGACGAGAAAAACAAATGACGTTATTCAACGACGTTTCGTTTCTAGAACTAGAAGTTTCAACTGTATACAACTTGAGACATTACATGCTACCTGTATTGGTTTTGAATTTTATGTGATTGCCCCTAGACAATTCATGGTCTAGAGCATGTGATGGGAGCTATCATTCATTTCAAGAACTTTGCAAGACAATAAAAATATCTTTTTTCTTGGGTAAAAAATGCAGGTGACAAAGGTCGAGACAATTTCTCCTCCTTGGGACTTTGTGGACGCTCCTTGTGAGTATGCTTCTTACTGTGGTGGATGTAAAACACAAAATTTGATTTATGAGGCACAAGTCAAAGCTAAGGAGCAGCAAGTTCATGAGTTGATTATAAACTTTGGAAAGTTTTCTCACACAGAACTGGAATCTCTAAGCATCATGAAGCCCATCGTTCCCTGTGAAATCCAGTTTCATTACAGGAATAAGGCTAGTGCATACTGTGAACCTTGTTAAATTTGAATGTTCATTCGGTTTCAGTACATACAATTTCTGTAATACTTTCCTCTTGTTTTTATCACATCAGAAAACAGTTACTCAATTTAGCTAACACAACCTACTTGCTCTTTGTCATTTGACACCTTTTAAGAATCAAAGTATCAGAGTACTCTTCTGGTGTAGTGTATACATATATGCAGATTCTTAATTTTACCTGGAAATCCACTGTAAATAAATTTCTAAGAATCTGTAAATCCTGTGTACTTTGTAATTATTATTTTTTATTTTATCGAGGTGTATTAATGTTTATTTGCAAAAAAAAGTAGTTTTTGATAATTTCCGGCATTTTTGCAGATGGAGTTCTCATTTGGTTCTCAAAAATGGTTACCCAAGGAAAAATTGATGGAGAGACAAGATGGAATTGAGAACTATGCCCTGGGATTGCATGCTCCTGGATTCTTCGATAAGGTTCTGAATGTTGACAAGTGCTTATTGCAAAGTGAGCCGGCGAATATGGTATTTCCTGTGTAATTTTGTTTTCTGAGTTCTTTGTGCTATTAAACGCAGAAACTATACATCACCTTTGGATTTGTTCTCACCTTGAGACTCCTTACCTTGCATATACCATTAAACTCAGGATCCCATTTTCCAGCTCTTTTATATTGTCACTTGACTACTGCATGGTCCTTAAAGTTTGCGTTTAATTATATGAAAAATCACTATTATGAGTTGGTAATGCTCGAGACTATTAGGGAGAATGATATAGTTAGTGACAAACAGTTTGTTAAAGCTAAGCGTAGTTAGTTTTATTAGTACTTGTAATTAGTTAAGGTAGTTGAGATTAGAACAGCGTTTTGGTGGAATTTCGGAGGCTCATGTTCACCAATTGCGATCGAGGCTTCAATCAATTCAGAAAGGTTCTTAGTCCATCTCTGAATATCTTCAACAAATCAAGGAAATTGCTGATTCCTTTCAAGCTGCTGGTGCTTCAGTCTCCGATCGTGACCTAATTGCTGCCACCCTACATGGATTGCCTGATGAATTCAAATCCTTTATTGATTCCATCATGCTCCGATTATCTTCTACCTCTCTTGAAGAACTACATGGCCTCTTACTCACCAAAGAGTTGTCTATGGCTCGTCGCAAGACTGTTTCTTCATCCTTTGCAACTGAGCCGTTTCAAGCTTTCTCCGTGCAATCTCAGCCTCCTCTGCTGCCTACTCCATCTGCATTTGCTGCTCAGAACCAACCTCTTCAATCTGCTTCTCAGTTCAACTCAAGTCGGGGCAAGCCATCTAAAGGTAATTTCTCCTCCAATCGCAGCAATCGCAACTTCCATAATAATCGTGGTAATTTCTTCAACAATCGTGGCAATCAGACTGATCAAGGCTCTCGCAATTATCAAAGTTCTTCTACTTTCAAAGTTCCCTGTCAGATCTGTGGTTCCACCAGTCATGAGGCCATTGACTGCTTTGATCGTATGAATCCGGACATTTGTGGTCGCATTCCTCCGGCTAAACTTGCTGCTATGTGTGTGCATCATTCTGCCAAATCCTCTCAGCCGTGGTTAATTGATTCTGGCACAACCTCTCACTTTACTAATGATGTAGCCAATATCTCTTCTACTCCCTACACTGGAGAGGACAAAGTGTATATTGGAGATGGTAAAGGCTTATCTATTCATCATACTGGTTCATCATCTCTGCACACTTCTCATTCCTCTTTTAAGCTGCGCAATGTTTTACATGTTCCCTTCATGAAACATAATCTCTTATCTGCTTATCAATTTCGTAAGGATAACAACTGTTCATTGACTCTTGACCCCTACGGATCCATTGTCAAGGATCACATTTCGGGGAAGACGCTTTTGCAAGGACCTGTTAAAGATGGTTTCTATCCTTTACAAGGTTCTATCCACTCTTCTCCACCTTCAGCTTTTCTCAGCATCAAAGCACCTGTCAAAGTATGGCACAAGCGCTTAGGACATCCTTCCTCCTCAATTTTCCGAAGGGTCTTATCTATCAATAATCTTGCTTTGCAAGGCAAGCAAACTGTTGATTTTTTCTGCTCAGATTGTGCACTTGCTAAGAACCACAAGCTTCCTTTTGGAGTGACTTCTTCATCAACAACTCAAAGTCTTCAACTTCTACATTGTGACCTATGGGGACCTGCCTCTGTCACATCTAATAGTGGTTTCAAATATTACTTACTACTTGTTGATGACTTTAGCAAATATAGTTGGTTTTTCCCATTGAAGTCCAAGTCCGATGTATTCTACTTTTGTTACTTTCAAAAACTATGTAGAAAACTTCAGTGGCAATAAAATCAAGATTCTGCGTTCTGATTCAGGGGGTGAATTCACTAATAACTCTCTTGCTTCATTTCTTCGTGAACATGGCATATTACATCAGTTTAGTTGTCCTCATACCCCTGAACAAAATGGCTGTGCAGAGAGGAAACATAGACATCTTGTTGAGACAGCTAGAACATTACTTGTTGCTTCTCATGTTCCTCATATTTTTTGGGTTGAAGCTTTCTCCACTGCTCTATATCTCATTAATAGACTTCCTATTTCTGGATTAACAAAGTCACCGTGGGAACCGCTCTTCAACCATCCTCCAGATTACTCAAAACTGAAAGTCTTTGGATGTCAATGTTATCCGTGGCTTAAACCGTACATTCACAGTAAATTGGATGCTAAGAGTAAAAGTTGTGTGTTTTTGGGATATAGTCTTCAACATAAAGGCTATAGGTGCCTTGATCCCATTACAAGTCGCATCTACATATCAAGACATGTTGTTTTTGATGAACACTCTTATCCATTTCAGTCACTGCAGATTTCAAGTTCTTCTTCAGGGAGTTCATCTTCCACCTCTTCATCATTTTTGGATCTTCATTTCCACAAACACTTCTCAAGTTCTCCTAATGCAAGTACTTCTTCAGCACCACGGTGTTCCTCTGCTCCTACTTCTATTACAACTCAGCATTCTTCAAGTCATCAGACAGTGGATACTTCTCCAAATTGTTCCAGTTCTGTCTCTATCTCAGACTCCTCTCTCTTGCCTCTTCAGCCAAGTCATCTACCTATTTCTGCAAATACACATCCTATGATTACAAGATCTAAAGCTGGAATCTTCAAGACTCGAGCTTATGCAGCCACCAAACATCCACTTCCTGTTGATCTTGACTTTGTTCCTAGTACGTATTTGCAAGCATCAAAACATGCTCATTGGAGAGCTGCAATGCAAGTTGAGTATAATGCTTTAATAACCACTGGCTCTTGGTCTCTTGTTCCATCTCATCCTTCTCAGAATGTTGTTGGTTGCAAATGGGTTTTCCGGATCAAGAAAAATCCTGATGGCACCATTGATAGACACAAAGCCCGTCTAGTGGCCAAGGGCTTTCATCAACAAGGAGTGGATTTTCAGGAAACTTTTAGTCCTATTGCTAAACCGGTTACCATTAGGATTCTTCTTACACTTGCTATTCAACATGATTGGTTTTTGAACCAAGTAGACATCAGCAATGCCTTTCTTCATGGTGATCTCAAAGAGGATGTTTATATGCAACAACCCCCTGGTTTTGTTGATCCTAACTCTCCCAGTTTTGTTTGCAAGCTGCAGAAATCCTTATATGGTCTTAAACAAGCTCCTCGAGCTTGGTTTGATAAATTGTTCCAAGCTCTTCGTACACTTGGTTTTCATCAATCACAATCGGATGCTTCCTTATTTGTTCTCAATGGTTCTCACTTGGTTATTGTCCTTGTCTATGTCGATGACATTTTAGTCATTGGGCCTCACTCTCAGCTCTGTCAACAGTTTATCCAGCAACTTAGCACTCAAATCTTGGTCCTTTACACTATTTCTTGGGGTTGGAAGTACACCGATCTAACAAAGGTCTCTTCCTGCATCAGACCAAGTACCTCCTTGATCTTCTTAAGAAAACAAACATGGAAGGTGCAAAACCTTGTTGCACTCCTCTTGGTTCTCAGAAACTGGATCACAGTGGGCCTCTCTTATCCAATCCTACTGAGTATCGTTCTATCGTTGGTGGGTTACAATATCTTACTTGGACTCGACCGGATCTTGCTTTTGCTGTCAATCAAATTTGTCAATTTATGCATGCTCCACGAGAACAACATCTTCAAGCAGCCAAACGTGTCCTCAGATTTCTCAAAGGTTCTATTTCTCATGGTTTATGGTTCACTAAGGGTCCTATCACACTTTCAGCATACTCTGATGCTGATTGGGCAGGCTGTCCTTTTGATAGGCGATCTACTAGTGGATATTGTGTTTTTCTTGGCCCTAATCTCATTAGTTGGAGTGCTAAGAAACAAAGCACTGTTGCTCGTTCCTCTACCGAAGCTGAATATCAGTCTTTAACCCATCCTGCTGCAGAAATTACTTGGGTGTGCAAAATCCTTAAGGATCTTCATTTTCCTCTACCTCAATTGCCTACACTTTGGTGTGATAATCTCTCAGCTATCTCTTTAGCTTCTAATCCTATTTTTCATGCTCGAACCAAGCATGTTGAGCTTGATTATCATTACATCCGGGAGCTAGTCCTAGCCAATCTCATCAAAGTTCACTATGTTTGCAGTGAAGACCAATTGGCTGATCTTCACACCAAGTCTTTGTCTAAAAGTCGGTTTTCTTCTCTGTGTTCCAAGCTTCCAATTGGAATCCTCTCTGATTCCTCCTTGAGCTTGAGGGGGTGTATTAGGGAGAATGATATAGTTAGTGACAAACAGTTTGTTAAAGCTAAGTGTAGTTAGTTTTATTAGTACTTGTAATTAGTTAAGGTAGTTGAGGGTATTATTGTAACTAGCCTAAAGTAGCTAAGGCTATATATATTCACATCTGTGTAACTGAATTATCTCATTCAATACAATTGTAAATCTTACAGAGGAAGTTTTCTCTTTCTATAGAGACCTAAATGTTGCACGAGAGCCTATTACCATATCACGTTCATGAAGAGGTTTTAGAAATAATTGCCTTCCCATAACGTAACTCTCAACAATTGGAATTTATGTGATTAATACCTGTAAAAAGATAATGTAGTTTTGTAAGATTTATTCCAATGTATCTTGCTAACATAATCTTTATATAATAATTTGTATGTGGGCACAAGCCCAGAGTAATTCCCAATCAATGATTCCTTGTCCTGTTTTGCTGTATGTATTAAAAAGTCTCCACATTGTCAAGCCAGCAGGTTGTAATTTGTAACATTGTCCGTGATGTTACAACTTTTCTTTTTCGTCTACCCTATTGGCAGTTTATTTTAGTAGTGTCAGTAAATTGTACTATTATGCACCAATGACTTCCATTGTGTAGGTTCTTGCTGCAGTCCAAGACTGTTGGAGAGATCCACAATTAGGTCTCTCTCCTTATGACGTTTACTCTCATGTTGGATTTCTTAAGCATCTAATGCTAAGAACTGGAAGGTACTGTGAGCTATATTGATGTCCGTAATTTATTATCCTTATAAATGCACATATGTGAATGTGTGTAAGCAAGCTGTAACTTGTTCTCAACTTGCAAATTATGGTTCCTGTGCAGCTGTGAGTTTGCTCATCAGTAAGCATGTTGTAGTTTTCATACTCACAAAAGAAGCCACATATATGCATGAATCTACCAACTTATGAATCGTTTTCCATAATTCACTATTAACTTTTCATAGGTAGTGGTAGGAGGAGGCCTAAAATTGTAGATGTCGTACAAGTAGACATACTTGATAGCTTGTGGTTTATTTGAGCATTTCTGTAGTTTACTTGTAATTTATGCACAAATTTGTCCATCGTACAGTGATTTGATTATATGTTGTCCCCTGTGAGCTCATGAATACCAAATTTTCACAGTAAGCAATGTCTTTGATTGTGTTCCAGGAATGCGGAGACTGGTCTTCCTGAACTTATGGTTAATTTTGTGACCTCATCTTACAAGCCAGAGCTGCTTAAGCCTCTTCTTGAAAAGATATCAGCTATCCCTGAAGTGGTTAGTATGGCCATTTCTATTTTAATTGGTTCCGGAATATAACCTGAAGAAGTATCTGGAGAAGATTATCATCTACCCCAGCTTCACAACCTAAACTGAATTAATTGATACACATAAATTTTTTGTGTCATTGCATATTTTCTATTGTTGTCTATCTATTGGGTACACCAACAAATTTACTTCTATGGTTGTTTAGCTACAACACCAAATTAGATACCTAGAGCATTTGCAGCCTTTCATTTTAGCAATCTCCTAAAAAGCTGTTTCTGACGGTCAAGTTTCCGATTCTAGCTACATTTTGTTAAAAAGAAAAGAGATAAAAAAATTTAGGTGAAATGTTGTGCATTTTACTACTCAACTGTGTTTGCTTTTGTTCTTACTATTATTTATTTGTTTTCTACTCATCATTTTGTATTAGTTTTGAATTACTTATTTTTATTTATCTCTTAAATCATTTTTTTTATGACTGATAGGTAAGTGTCATGAACAATATAAATAGTTCTGTTGGTAACACATCTCTTGGGGAGGTGGAATACAATTTGTATGGAAAATCCAGCATCACGGAGAACTTAAGAGGGCTAACGTTTCAAATATCAGCAAACTCATTCTTCCAAACAAATACTCACCAGGCATGTAATGTGACAAAAGTTTAACCCCTCATCTGCTGATGCTTACTTTCAACTCATTTTATCTTTATAGTTAAATTCTTGAGGTTTTCCTGGTGAATACTAACTGTGAAGTTAAATGCTAATTTTTTTAAATGCTTAGGCAGAGGTTTTATATGAACTCATAGAAGATTGTGCTGGTCTCAGAGGAGATGGCTCAGAGATTATTCTTGACCTGTTTTGTGGAACTGGCACCATTGGGTTGACACTTGCCAGAAGGTAATTCTCGAATTTTCATTTGTTTTACATTTCTTGTTGAAATCTGACATTGTGCGTTGCCTTTTGGTGCAGGGCCAAACATGTTTATGGATATGAAATAATTCCTCAAGCCATTGCAGATGCTTGTCTAAATGCCGAGCTGAATGGCATCCAGAATGCCACATTTGTCCAAGGGGATCTTAACAAAATTGATGAAAGTTTTGGGAAAAATTTTCCTAAGCCCGACATAGTTATTTCAGGTTTTTTTTTTTTTTGTTTTTTTCTTGATCCTATAATTCATCTTCTAGCTTCACTAATCTCTTGGACCTAATAACAAGCGTTCTGTTCTTAAAATGATTTTGAAGAGTAAGAAATAGGTCTCAGACCCATGAGTGTTTTGGTTATTGGATAACAAGTGATTACAAATATTATAGGCTTCTGGTTAAAATTTTGTTTTCAATCTGTTGTTTCTCTCCTACATTTTGGAATCTCTAGTTTTTCTTATTCATATCTTTCTATAGATCAAACAGGCATTTGAGGCAATTTCATTTTGCACAGCACAATGATTTTTTTGACCTCTTGGATGTGACTATCTTTTCATAGGAGTGTCAACTTGTGTTCTTGATGAGTGCGTGGATGTTAGACTAATTTTCCGTTTTTAAATCAATTATTTGGCTAAAGGGCTCATGATTTCTATATTTCCATTGTCGAGAGAGATTTTTGGTGCAGGAGGAAAAGATGGTTTGGTATGTCCTAATTGTATCGTAAGGTTGAAATATGTCTTACATGGCTTAGATTTCATAAGTTGATTTTTGTTTAACAGAAGGAAAAAGAAAGGTTAATTGCTGCTTAATTTCATATAACTAACTTTTAATGAGAACGTACATCAGTTTGCCTCTTACCGTGTTTGATGTGTTGAATCATACAGATCCAAACCGTCCAGGAATGCACATGAAGTTGATAAGATATCTTCTAAAGCTTAAGGCGCCACGGATAGTTTATGTATCGTGTAATCCTGCCACATGTGCACGTGACCTTGATTATCTCTGTCATGGTGTGGTATGTGTCTCCTCTTTCACCCTTGTTAATCAAGACTTTATTTGATACTCAGTTGTATGACCCACTGAAAAATTTATGCAGACTGAGAAAGGTATAGAAGGCTGTTATAAGCTAAAGAGCGTACAGCCAGTAGACATGTTCCCTCACACTCCTCATATCGAGTGTGTTTGCCTTTTGGAGCTTCGTTGACCCCCGGCCAGTTTCGGTTGTGATCTTCATGCCAAAGGTTCAGAATTCTCTTTGCCTTGTTCACCCCGTACCATTTGAATGGAACTTTATTTCCGACGGTCCTGTTATTTTAGTGTGTTTTGATTTGAAACACCTGCTCAAAATGTTTGTTCCAGGATTTTAAAAGCTTTGCCAGGGAACTGTGGTAACAGTTGTGAACGGGTTAATTTTTATGAGTTTCGTTTAGTTTATCACCTCGGAGCGTGTCTAAGTTGTGGTGGTGATGCTCGCTTTGGCTCTGGCTCTCTATTGTGCGGACCGTATCGTGATGTCGGTGGCGATTATGCCATTATCTTCTGGGCTTTCTGGGATTTTGGGATGGTGGCTGGAACTAAATGAGGCCTAAAGAGAATTGTAGGGAGTAAGTGAAGAATTTTGGTAATGACAAGTTATGATTTTTTGTCTGCTTATAGAATGGAGAAGTTAAATTTGAGAAGCTTAAGATGCCAGATCAAAATCTTTGGCAGTCTTGGTAATGAGAATTTCTACAATACTTTCTTTGATGGTTGAAATTGGTACCATACGGAATATCCTGCAAATAAAAATTTAACTTTGCACAATAAACTGGCCAAATAGGCTAGTCAACTAGTTACAAGTTAGTCAGTGATAGAAAGTGCAGTAGCAAGAACAAATCTTGGTTGACCAATACGACCAACTACTCAGACTTTGCCTAGATCAGTTTCACAACACCAAATCCTAAACTTGAACACATTTACATATTAGTTCATTATGCAAACAACAATGACAAAGCAATTATGAATTAAAGTATGCTGGATTGACTAGTTAAGCTTATTAGTTAACTAAGTATAGATTCACCAGTTAACCAAATGCAAATCTACGAACCAAACTTAGTTCACTACAAGTTATCCTAGTCAATAACAATTTAGTTCATAGCTCATAATATGTAGTGTAAACATAGTCACAAACATATATCAACTAACAACTCATAGAATGCATGAAACGTATCCTAGTAAATAAGATATGTAAACAAGTTTAAGAGACAAAGAACGCAATAAGTTTTTGGTCGAAAAACCCACCTATAGGTTAAAAAAATGGGGACTCTCCACTAAGTCTAATCCACTAGTGCAAATAAGGTTCTTACAAAGATCCACACAAAGCTCAATTCCTAAATCTAATCTTTCGAGCAGCTTTACCTTTGTGCAACCTTACTTTGCACGAGTTGAGGATTCCTTCAATCTTCACGAAGTGCTAGCTTCTCATAACCTCTTCACCTTGTGACACCGAAATAGAGTCGTCTCTAGTCTTCACAAGATAGAAGCTCCTCCTGAACCTCTTCACCTTGTGGCATCAAGACCAACACCTACAAATGCACATGATATGATAATAATGATAGTGTGCAATCTGGATTCAATGACTAGTCTGTTTCTTCAGTTAGACAGTTGAAAGAAGAAATTGACGAGAATTCAAAAAATTAGTCAATAAGCAAATTTGAAACTTGAAAACTTGACCACGAATTTAATGCAAAACCATGAAGAACAATGCAACCTTATTATGCAATGATTGGGTATTTAAAGTATGAACATGGTTTTGTGGCGAGGGTTTCTAACGAAGAACATAATAGGCAATTGAAGGCTGTAAAAACACTCTTTGAAAATGTAAAATTTCCTAGCCAAAACAATTGAGAATATAAGAAGATTTAAACAAGCATTTTTCAGAGAGATTTATAAATATTTAAAGAAGAATTTTACCAAAAATAGATGCTTGATACTCCTAGGGAGATCTAAGATGGAGAGGAAAAATCAACCCTCTAAGAATTGTAAACTTTCTTTGCAAAGAGGAAATGAAATCCTCTATCCCTATTAAAACAAGACCTTTGATTGTTGTAAACAAAGTACAAAGAGACACTTGTCAAATATAAAAGCAATCTGAGTAGATCGATGGTGAAAAGCTCAATCTCGTATAAAAGGTGTCAGTCAGCCTATATGGGCTGCCTTAAATAGTGTGCCCAACTCGTAGAAAGTCAGAGCGCAAAACTGACGAGACAACCAACTAATCAGAATGCAACGAGAATTTAGACATGAAATGCACATGCATGAACCAACCTCTGAGTGAGGAGACGAGCCACAACCTTGACCGCATAATTTCACCAATACAATCCCATAAATAGAGTGAAGCTTAAAACTGGATTGAGCATGTGTGGTACAATTACAATATTGACAAGGAAAGCCAAACATAAAACTCTAGATTTCACAATTGTAGAAAGGAATGCAAGTGCCTTGGCACTTACACTTGATTTTGACCTCCACGCGCCCTTTCCCCCCATGGCCCTGAAATTGCAATAAAAGTGGGTATCCATCTCTCTCCTCATTACTTCTATGTTAAGGTACCTTGAGAAATGTGGGTAGGGCGCACTTTGTTTTAATTTAGTTTTTTTTTTACTAATTTTTTTAATGTTTAATTATTTTTATTTTCCACATCATGAGAACACGTGGGCCTTATATTAACCAAGTCATCACTTAACGGTCAAAATTGACGGTTTGACTAACGGATGTATGAAATTGCAATGAAATGATTAGTAAATGTATGAGATTGAAATGTTTTAAAGATGTTGTATAAGGTTGTAACTGCACCCAAACTTGAAGGAGTAAAACGTAAATTACCCAAAATGTTTGATAAAATAAAATATATTGCTTATTTTAAAAGTAATGGCTTCTAGACAATAGCTTTTATAAGCAGTATGTAGGTTGCTTTAAAATCCGCTTTTATAAAAAGTGGAGTTGAGTCTTTAAGGAATATTTTCAATGCATGTTATACCCTCATTAGTTTTAACAAATGACATTTTTATGCTTCTATACACATTTATCCCTTGGAGAACAAAGTGATCGCCCGCCCATGCCACTACAAACACCAACTTACACCACCACCACTGCCGCCATTACCATACCATTGTTGCCACCACCACCACCACCAATATAACCACAACAGTTGTTGCTGCCGTTTCTACCACTATTGTTACATCTGCACCCCGACCACCATAACCCATTATTGGCACCACCACCATACCCCACCACTGTTGCCATAATCATCACCACCATCGTTGTGGGGCCATGATTTTTCAAGGCTGAGTAAGGCTAATCCAAATACAGTTACATTAGAAGTTCGGTCATGGACTCATAAGCTCCGTGCGGAGCTGTATCAGACGGAGCTGAGGTGCCACCATTACCCTGTTCTGGGGCAATAGGCGGAGTCTTTACGATTCTACTGGATGACCATGCTTGTTTTGCAAAACACGCAATCTGATCTAGATATGGACATAATAAGATCCTATAAGTCTTGGAGTTTCTACAATTTAGGATTTGATGTGCGCCACAAGTAATCATAACTCCTAAAATGGTGCAATATCTACTTCTAGATATCCTCTAGGATTCTCCTGGCTTAGAGTGAGGATTCTATCCTAAAAATGTCTCTCCCATGGTATAAATTCACCCATCTAGGGTTCATCTCTAAATCTAATAACGCAATCTGAACACTTGAATTCTCTTGCCCACTACTTGAGTCTAAAATCATTCACTAACTTGACCATTGGAGAGCCTTTGGCTGGTACACCACACCCCCCTCTGGTTTTAGGTTTAATGATGGTTGTTTACTATTTGGCAGGTTGCTCGAGTTTGTGCATAGCCACCATTTCGCGGTTGTGCGCGAATATGGTTCCAACAACCGCTTCCTCCACCACTACTGCCACTACCATCGTCGTCAACACTCCATTACCATGTATATTTTTGTCATTATATACAATTATTTCACTTTTACATTAAAATTTACCAAACGCTTTTACATTGCTTTCCATACTCCCAACACTTTTGAATATACAATATATCGAACACTCAACTAATTTATCTTACAGCTGATTCTTCTTAAAGCACATCGTAAGATTTTTTTTATTTTTTATTTATTTTTTTAAAGCCCTACAATTTCAAACTGGCCCTTTTCACATGTGAAATAGAAAATTTTATGGGGTCATATATTTCTTTTTACATGTAAAAGTGTGGGTTTTACATATTGTGAAATTGAATTTAGAGAAAATGATTTGGTTTTACATATTGTGAAATTGAATTTAGAGAAAATGATTTAGGTTTTTCAATTTAGAGAAATTGAAAAACAAAACACCACACAAACACACCTTTGTCGCTGCATCTGTTGGAAGAGAAGAACCAAGTAATTTGTCGTCTTCTTGCTTCATTAACCGGAAATGCATTCATGTGGATATTAGTAGAGGGCTAACAATTGGAAGCCTCAACAACGAATTCATCTTCATATGAAATCGAAAGGTTGGAATTCTAAACTTAATTTAAGTTTATGCATGCGTTCTTAAAAATGTTTTACATGAACACAAGCACGTCATTTCACCTAGATCATGTGGATTAATTTAATAAGGTTAAACGGAATCCAAAATTCCGCTAACCATGCATGTAAATTGGATTATATATGCTTACATCACCTTGCCACACTCTCCACCACCCAGCACTATAAGGGGTATGAAGTTAACGAGTCATATAATTTGTTAAAAAAAAAAAGAGAGAGTCATATAATGAAGCTTTATGATAGAGTAATTGAGTATAGACTAAGACAAGAGACACGGGTCTCAAACAATCTATTCGGGTTCATGTCAAGACATTCGACTATGAAGGAAATCTATCTCTATGAAGATCGATGGAATGATATAGACATATACAAAAGGATTTGCACATGGTGTTTCTAGATTTGGAAAAAGCATATGATAGGGTCCCAAGAGAAATTCTTTGGAGGGTTCTAGAGAAGAAAGGAGTACGAGTTGCATATCCAAGCAATAAATATAGGGAACTTTAACGAAAAACACCCGGTACTGTTCACTTTAATGAAAAACCACATTTTTACACTAAAAAGTCAATCCTGGTACTATTCACTTTACCCTTTATTTTGTCCTTATCATTAAAACTCAAAGTTTTCAAGCTCTTTTCATTAGTTTTCCTATAAATATATTGTAGGATGAAGTAAGAACTCATGAAGGACAAACTAAAAGCTTTCCATAACCATAAGTTTACACCAAGTCTCAGTTTTAAGTCCTTATCTTTTTGCATTGGTAATGGATGAGTTAATAAGATATATTCAAGATGCTATACATTGTTGATAGATGAAACTTAGAAGCGAGTAAATGCGAAGCTTAACCTTTAACGGGAAGTGTTGCGATCTAAAAGTTTTCGCCTAAGTTGGTCAAAGGCAGAGTATAGGAAGCAAGTTCAGAGCAGATAGATGTCCAAATGAGATAGGGGCGAGGATTGAAGATCATGAAGTAACAAAGAGTGAACGCTTTCATTATCTTGGGCCTATCTTAAAAAAGAACAGAGAATTGAATAGAGATCTCAACCATAGAATACAAGTTGGATGGATGAAGTAGAAGAGTGCATTGAGTGTGTTGTGCAACTGACGTATGCTACTAAAGCTCATGAGAAAATTTTATAGGGCGGGAATAAGACCATCAATGCTTTATGGCATAGAATGTTGAGTGGCCAAGTAGCAACACATGTGAAAA